TTTTTTTTGTAGATTCCTAAATAACAAGTAATTTTCCTTTTCATATTTCTTATTTCTTCTATATCTTATCTATGTATCTTAACCACATTTAAGAACAATGATGAACTTCAGGACAATAGTGAGATGCTTCCAAGAAAGGTGTTACTGACTGAATTTAGATCACTGGTGGTTAATAACTTTACTTCCAGAAATCCGTCTGATATAAATAATGATTATGGTCAACTAAAGAATTTCAAGAAATTCAAAAAGGTGGGTATTTTTTTAACTGTAGCACAAGAGGGCGGTGTTTGAAGTGTTTTTAGAAATAACTACTGATGTTAAACAGGAATAAGAGCAGTTTATGTCAAAACCTGATGCTATTACTTCTGCTTAAAATGGTTAAAAAACTACACAAGGAAGGACATGAACTGACAGTTAATATATGGAACACCTAGAATGAAACAGATCTCATCAAGACTGAATTGTTTACAGGTTGCTGTTTACCTGGTTTCCCCTACCTTAAGAAGATTTTATTTATAATGACAAGATCTTTCCAGTTCTAGTATTGATCTATGACTCCTTGAAGGAGTTCTTTACTTTATGAGGGGTTCAGACTTTATGAAGATAAAAGATTTGTTTGAAATAACTGAGCACATTAAGTAATGAAAACTATAGGCATTTTATTATTACATGTATATATAAAACAAAATATGAATACGTACACTATTACCATCAGACCTCAGTTCCTCCTCATTTAGGAACTGATATTTATCTTATCAGCCTGGTTAAAAGAATATTTCTGATCCAGTCTTTATTCTTTTGTTGTCTATTCTGGGATATCTGCTTCTTGTCCCACACCTATTACTAGCTGCTTTGCTTATGCAGTTGATCAGAGTATGGTAATTATTTCAAAAGTGATTTTTTGGAAAACTGCTTTTTTCCATTGAAATTGTCTTCAGTGCTAGACTTAAATTTTCATCAGAACTAGAAAGGGCTTAAACTTTGAAATCTTTAGAACAAAGTATAATGCTTTAAATTATAGTGTGTGTGTTCACCTTGAGTTGCTTTTAATTGCTAGATGAGAAAAGGCAATCTTTGATTTAAAAACTCCAAATATAAAAATCTTAAAATTCTTCTTAGTACATAAATTCCAGTGACATATCTAAATCTGGATACAGTAATAGCTAGGAAAAATAAGGGCAAAAACAGGTGGATATAGGACAGAGTTAGTTACCTCTTTCTCACTTTCATAGACATCTTTGGCATTTATGTTATACATGATGTGCAAGCTTTCCTTTTTAGCTTTAAAAAAATGGTCATCTTAATTTGTTAATGTGTTTAAACCTCACTACTTTTTTTTTACTTAAAAGGTCACATTTCCTGGAGCAGGAAAACTTCCACACATCATTGGAGGATCAGATCTGATAGCTCATCATGCTCGAAAGAATACAGAATTAGAAGAGTGGTTAAGGCAGGAAATGGAGGTTAGTAGGAAGTAAGGCCCAGAAACTTGTTCGAATTGCACTTTGGTCCCTTGTGGTTCTCTTATAGCAAATTCTTCTTAAAACCAAACTTAAGATAAGTGACCTAAGGTCATTCATTCAGGAGAATTTGTGAGTTACAAGGCACTAAGATTCATCTGTACCTTTCCATAACACTTATTTAAGGTAATTCTAATTTTATTTGTTAAAAAAGTGAGACCTAGGGCCGGCCCCGTGGCGCACTGGAGAGTGCGCCACTT